AGGAATAGTCATGGTTCCACTTGGAGTATTTATCAGCTACTAGGCTTATATCCTAGATAATGAAACTTTCAAAGTTAAGTTGATCTAGGAAGTCTGCAGGATACCAATAGAAAGCCGACCCTAAAGAAAACACCAGCAGAAGCTGACACCGAGCTCTCCAGGCACAGCAAGAGGTTTCCAGGGCAAGTGTTGCTACAAGAGACCATAAACCACAAGACTGAAAATAGAGGGAGCACGGGGCCAGTTTTTCTAGGTAATTAAGGCACCCCAAGGTGCAGACAGGCACATAATGGGATTTTCCAAAAGTGCCTAAATGAACTATAGACCCGATTATCCTCTCAGAGGGAATCAGGCATAGGTGTCCAGCCCCCTGGGAAATCTCTCGTAATTCCACTTGGCAAAAAGTCTGGGTGCCTCACTATCTTCCAAAATCCTAGATCTTGCATATAGCTAGGCATACGTAGGTAAATATACGAATGCCTTAATTTGTACACTGTTGAGACAGTATCACCGCTAGGACTAAGCAGGTAAGAAACTGAAAGCTTCTTGCTTGGTGCTTGATCCAAGGTAACTGACTTTGTAAGCTATGGCTTCAAGTAGCAAAAACATCCTTGAGACGGGAAAACAACAGGAGTTGTAGCCACTGCAGTAGGGACCTCTTCTGTTGGGCCTATTAGTATCTCTGGAAGAACAATTCAGATGCTCAGGGTACCCAAGACATGTTGTGGGGGTCATGCATCCGACACAGGGTCCTTCGGGAGATGCTGGCCCTGCCAGGGCAGCGGCCAGAGGCTATGCGGTGAAAACTGGAAGTCAAAGGGCACTGAAAAGCTACATTTAAGTAAGAGAAGCTCGTCCACTGTATTGTAAACCTCAATGAGCTTATATATTTAGGTTCTCAAACACAAGATTATTGGTACAATGGTAATTTTATGTCCTTCCAAAGGCATTCACCTTCTTGACTTTTAAATGAGCTCTCTTTAGGAAAAACACCAATAAATGGTTCGCACTAGAGTTGACAATAACATCTTTTTGACAGTCTCAGCAGTAAGCCTAACTACAAAAGTGAGTGTTAAAACAAAACAATTGATCCACACACAGAGAATAGGCCTATTGGAGAAGAAGGCCCAAATATATTCAATAGCACATTACAGCCAATTATTGTTGTAACATACGATTGTTTAAAGAATAAAAATTAAATGCTATCTCTCTTCTACATGTTCTTGAAATTAGTTGTAATGAGGTCAGCTACTTAGATTTATTGTTTCGCTTTGACGCTGAATATGCAATTTGTTCTTCATGCCAAGGAAAATAAATAAATCACTGCAGGAACAACGATTTCTACAACAATATGATTAATAGTTTCAGATCTGTCACTTCATACAGAAGTCCTGCAATCATTTTCCTTCTTAATGAATGAGTTCCCTCCAGCAAGACAAAAGGCTAAGAAAAACAGTCACATCAGGTTTGTTTCTTCCAAAAATTATTTCTTCATTTTTCATCTTTCCTTCCTCTGTATCTGCACTGGATCTCCTAATTGTCCTTTTCCCACACATTTCAAACAGCATCACTAATTTGCAAGTGGGAATGCAGAACAAATCAGGAATGGCTGGACAAAGCTAAGACTCAAGTATTTCAACACCGTGTTGCAGAGGGTGAACTACAGAGGTGCTACAGACCCTGTTTCAAAAAGCAGCTGCCATGCAGAACACTTCGTTTTCCCTGTGGACCTTTCCGTGCTCACACAAACTATGGAACATCCAGACCTTATATACGTGTTAACAGTAGCAGACAACTTCAGGTGACAGGTACAGGTAACCGTTCCCCCAGTTGTTTCACAGCTATCCGTACTTCTCATAGTGCACTAGCATTACTCGACATATGAGAGATGTCCTTCCTTCTCACTGGCCCTCCATTATTTTCTTCTAAGATTGAATTCAATGGTTACCCCCAATATACATCACACAGGTAATTACAGGGATCTGTTTTGGGGTGATGTTACCAGCTGAAGTAACTGGCTGTGTCTCACTCTGCTATTGATATTCGCAGCCTTCTTGGGGCCACCTTACCAAGCAAGCTATTTCTTAAAAAGCCCTATTTAAATTTTAAGTTGACATAAAGATACTTTGTGAAACATGGGGATAGATCTCTTTTCCTTGCTCCCAGTTAAAGGGCTCTGGACTTTGCTCCACCAAAGGTTGCTCTATCAGAAACTGGTTAACAATATATAGGGAGAGTACTTCATGAAATACTAATAATTTTTAAATTCTTTAGCATCAAAAGTAAAAAGGGACTACATTTGTTGACTATGCTTTTGGTTTGGTACACCTGTATTATAACAGCAAATGCACAGCTTGAGCTAAGTATCCCTACTCAGCTGACACAGAACTGTATGTTACTGTTTTCAATGGCCACTATCTACACACTACCCACGTGTTAATGCTTGTATCACAGGAATTATCAGGTGATATCTGTCACAAAGTGCATACAATTGTACCAAAGACTACTAGAGTCAGGTTAGTTTGCGTACACAGACCAATTTCTTTTCACTCCGGTCCAAAGGACTAAGTGAATCAAAGCAAGAACAGCAGCTGCTCTGGGCACTATAATCCCACTGGGGAAGCCGAGGAACACGGGAAAGAGAAAGACCCCACAGAAAACATTTAACACACAGAGAAAGAGAAGACAGACAAATATATCGTGAACTCCCTTTACATCCACCATTCAGACAGAACATACCTCCTTAGCCATGTCAGTGTATTTCTGCTTTTCTTTTGGATCTAGAACAGCCCACCAATCTGCCAAGATCTTGGTTGCGCCACGATTATCAAGGCGAGGATGTTCTTTTCGCACGAGAGAGCGATGGCGCTTGCAGAACAAGAGAAATGCATTCATTGGTCGGCGAGCTCGTTGCTCGGAGGACTCGTCATCTTCGGTTTCATCAGCATCCTGCTCTAAACCATCAGCACCAAGGAGCGGCACCTAGCAGAACCGAAAGGCAAGGGGTGTAAACTCAGTTATCCATCCTTCTCATGGAGACTGAGAGTCTGTGGATGCTGCGTGTGAATGAGGGAGACGCACATAGATACAGGCAGCTGTCTCCAAAGGCCATCTGTTCCATCCAGAAGACCTGGAGTTCTACATCAAACCTCCCCATCTGATGGTTCCAGGTTCATTCATGCTCTCTGCAAGACTTAAACTCCAACTTGCAAGTAGAGCAGATTTCGAAGCTGAGGACCATTCTCTAGTAACAGTCCTCAAGGGGCTGGAAGAAGGAGATCCTTCCTACCCACCCCTCCTACAGCCTAGAAATCATCTCAGTGGGATGAGGTGAGTGGAGCTACTTGGACCTCACTCAGGTGCGTTTGCATAGTTAACAGTTGTTTCCCTACCTCCTGCCGTTCATCACTCAGTCTGTGAGCTGTACTGCAGTACAGCCACTGCACAGCTGCCCAGTCAGAGACAGAGGGCAAATCTCAACAGAATATCCTACCAAAATACGCTCTCTCCACTTACAGGGCAGTGTATCATTCCTACAAGGGACACAGCACCGGAGACTAGTTCTGATTGAATGAAACAAATCGCTTGCTGTATGGAGACAGAAAACCATCTCCTACCTAACTGCAACACTGCTATTTTATACCACATTGTAAAAATGACCTGCAAGGTCAACAGAAAGCACCACCAGAGTATTAGGCTCCTCCTTATCCTTGTCAAGGTCACCCTTCCTTATCAGTATTTGGCTCAAGGCAGTCTCCTCAGCGCTGACCTCTCCCTTCCTGCCTTAGGAAGGCACCAAGGAGATGCAGATGTGACATTTCCACCATGTGGATAACGCTTATGTCTCCATAACCCATTCCCACCTCTTGTTACAGAGGATGAGTCTAAGTGTACATTTGTGAGGTGCCACATTGTGGGGTCCTTACAAAAAAAGGGTAAGGCCAGCGTCATTGAACCGTACCAAAATACCAAGCGTTAAACCAGAGACACATTATTCCACCTGTGCTCTCAATATTCTGGAGGACAAGTTGAATTTCACGTGTGAAGACAGTAAAAATTGTTGACAGCTTTTTCCTTCTTTTTCTCTTTTAATCTTTGTATTTTTTTAATCTTTAAAAAAAGGAAGAAAACTATTAGCTTGGTATGTTCTCAGAGCTACTAGAACCAGAAACGAAGCACAGGTTAACTTGATGTCTAAAATAAACAAAAAAAAACATGTCAAAACCCCACCTTGAGCAATGAAGACTGAGATGTGCAACATGTTATTAAAATAACCCAGTTAAAACTCTTACAGTCTAACTCTAAACCAGAGAGTTTTGTCCAAGATTTTAAAGGCATGATTGACAATTCACTGTGTTATTTGCTACTTGCCTTTATAGCTTACGGGCACAGCATCACTTCTTTTTATTGGCTGTGTTTGTACACAAGAGAAAACAGTACAAAGCAAAAAAAATAAAACCACAGCTAGGGAGAATCTGACCCACCATTAACCTTCTATGGTCAAAGCATCCAATGAAGTCTACCTTATCAAGATCTTCCTCTTCTTCTTCCTCTTCCTCCTCTTCAGAGAAGTCAAGGAGTTTCTTGGCAAGCAAAGGATGCCACTGAAGACACTTTCTTTTTGGTCGCTTCCCAGTTCCTTCTCCTTCTGTCGAATGATCCTTATTCCTACTACTGCCTTTCATTACTGTGACCTGTCATGCAAAAAGAGCCATAAATTCACAACAAATCCTTAGACATAAGCGACCATCATGTAGATACTTAAACAAGTCACAAACATATGGGGCGCCCTCAGAAGTTTTTAGTGAGATATTAGATAGAGATTTACTCCAATCATCAACAACAGCATGGAGGTATCTTTTCCAATCTTAACATTTCCACCTAAGGCCCAAATTAACTGGCAAGATACAATTTAAGAATATGAAGCAAGGACACAGCTCTCGAATATGCTCCTGTCTGAAGGACAGCAGAAAAGCCCTCACACTTCACTAGTCAAGTGAGAGACTCCACAGCTCTCCCACATCTGCCCCCACTGTAGTTTTTTCACATTTTGCCACTGAAAATGTCAGGATATCCCTCTTTTTAGCAGTGGAACTTATCGCCGGCCACTCATCTGTTAATCATGCACTTATATATAGCAATGTTGATGCAGAACCTCATGACACTATGAGCTAGGATTTCCCAAGTGCCATTAAAAGGTGCAATAAGGAAATCTGACTCCCTGCCTAAGAGAAGTGAATTTTAATACACAAATTTGAAGCAAACCACCAGAAGTAGTTACCCTGATACTTCCAAAGTACTCATCAACAAGAGCCCCTGCACAGCAAACAAGACAATCTGCTGTTTTTTTTCAAGTGCATGCAGAAGGTAAATCATATTTACTTACATGCCCATCTTGTGTGTGCGCAGCCTTATCTAGAAAATACCTCAGAACTACCTCTCAGTAAAAATACGTGCTTAACACATGCCAACTACCAATTTAAGGGACGGCTTAAGAGATCTGTCCCCATCACGCTGCTTCTACCTGGAGCACATTTAAACTTTGATTTCATGGCACCTGCCCCTCTGTTCATTTTCTGTAAGCAAATCTTGTCTTTTCAGTATTATATGGCACATAATCATGCACCATTTGACCTAAATCCTTGTCCATGACTTGCAAAGCGGATCCAAGTACACAGAAGCAAACAACTGTGGCTTTAAAAGAACATTAAAGTGTGGAAAATCAAGTTGCAATCCAGTATCATGAAATGCAAGTTTGAAACTGTTTCTATCTGACCGTGACATCCGCCACGTACCACACTGCATCACACTCCCCATCAGTCTCTCTTCCTAAAGTGCTGAACCACCGTTTGCTTTTGTTTGGGGTATTTACGGACACAAATTGACAAAAGTAGCTGAGCTACTGTTTGAGCAGGAACTTCAGCTCCTGTGGGTAATAGGGATGCGTTAAGTCTCGGAGTTTGTTACATGATAGAGATCTGCCTATTACTGTAGTCAATAAAGTACATGGCCTATTTCTGAGGAGGATAAATGTGCCACAAGTACAACAAGGAGCAGGCTACTCCAGCCCTCACCACCGACTTATCTAGGTGAGCTAATCATATGGTTTCTCCTACATTCAGTCCTAAGTAAGGCGAGTGTTACTGGTAGCCTTCTACCTCATTGGTGTGAAACTGAATTAATGTTTGAAGAGTGCTCCACGATCCTGCTTTACAAAGCTCAGCTGAAGTCTCAGTGCTATTTCAACAACAACCTCTCTGCCGGCTCCCCTTCGAAAGATAAGCAAGAGAAAACTTCACAGGACTTAAGTGATCCCACGGTGTATTTTACATGTGCTCTCCATCACCTCTGAGGCCCTGCCTATGCTCTACACTGAGCTCGCAATGGAGCACAGACCCTGGGCACCAGTCACCTTGCAAATCCCAAAGGGGCTCTCAGTATGTTACGTCTCTTCACTACTGCCCAGCTCACAAATAATTTTTGTTCCATGCATGAAGGCTAGGTACTAAACACCCAGTTACTCCTAAAATAAATTAACAAAAGCTCACTGCACATTAGGGCTGAAATAGAAACGTATGCCTAGCTCCAGGAATTCAAGTGATGATCATTAGGTTTTTTTCTTAAATTGTGAACCATTTTACCCTAGTCCTCACCCTGAAGCAGCAGTTCTACTATAAAGAGGCTTTTTAGCAAGACGGGTCATTACCCTACCAGCTGAACAAGCATTTAGGAGATCCAAGACACAGAGTAAGTCAGATCCTGGCTGTTATACAGGCACCATTTACTACAGACAGACACAGAGTTGCTCCGCTTCCACTTCGGAGTGAATCTCTGCAACCACCACCAACAAAAATCCTCCTGATTTAACCGCACTGATGGAAGGACTGAGGCCATAGACTGACTTCAAATCTTACTTTTATGGCATGGCCTGGAAGATCCTCACCCCTTAAATATGTCAAGTTATATACTCTATCCTCTATATCCTCTCTTCTTTCCTGTAAAATAGGGCTACATTCACAACACGAACAGATAAAAAATAGGGGCTGAAATAGTTTAGTACTTCTGTGTTTCCAAACTCTTTTTCCCCGTTTTTGCTTATTCAAATTCTCCTAAGTTTTGACCTACATTTCAGAGACTTTTTTGGTGTTCGCTTTTTGCTGATGCCTCTCCCAGTCCAATGTAGGATTGGCATAGTGAAAAATGTTCTAGGTCTCTATTACATTGCATGGGACTTTTCCTCTTAAAAAAAACGGATGCTGACATAGTGTGATGAACTTGTTTTCCTTTAGATTGCTTCATCTTCCGTATTACTACCTCCACACTTCATGGGCATTTCTGTCATAATTGTTGCTATATTCATGTACAAATATATAATTATGAGAGAAGCTGTCCCATGGAAAAAAAAAAATCCAGTCAAATGCAAAACACTGCTAACATGGACACTTTCATTCATTTTTTTTGTATGGAAGGTTTTGGCAAGACATAGCATAACTACTTAGACAAGACACTCCATGGTCAAGTGAAGGCATGTATGATTAAATGATAGTGCAAGTTTTACTAGCATTATTTACTTGCTGAATGGCAAAACATCAATGGAATCCATTTAGTGGACTCTTCAGATTCTATTTATTTATCTGATTTTTTTTTTCCCCTCGACACATCTTCAATAGCATGTTCATTGCTTGTTTTGTATGGGAGACAGGAAGCTGGCAGACAGAAGCAAGCAAAAATACCAGCTCCTTCTCCCTCTCAGGGATCCCTGAGTGCTGGCAAGCATCCCTACCCGCAAGCTTTTGAAGAGAGCCAGACTTGGACCCTACAAGAACTGAAGCATGTGTTTAAGCTTGGCAACTAAATAGCTCCATAGAAAGTCAAAGAACAAATCATGGGCAGTCTTTGCACAGCACCCAAAGCTTAGTTTACAATAACTGGAATTTATGAACCGGATTACAAAAAAAAAAATGGTAATTTCTTCTACAGTATCAGTAAAAACATCATGTCTCTTTTAAGGCAGATGTAACGGCTTGTAGAAGTTAGCAATTAAAACCAGCTAACAAGATTTTACAAGATATTTGTCAGCTTAAGGATAACAAAAAAGTGACAGACACTAGGGAGAAGACAAAACAAAAGTATGGACAGCTTTCCTTTAAAAAAAGGCCACATATGCTTTCTAACTTCACCAGAGGATACCTGTCAAGGCTGACATTCATGATCCACTGACAGCAAGAGATATCTTCAGGGTGATGCTCTACATCTACCTTTAGTGCAGCTACAGATCAAACATTACTGAGATACTACAACAGTAAAAAAATTTAACAACTATTTTTTCTTTTTCACTTTTTTTTGTGTGCTGGCTGTATTATTTCCTTTCTGGTCCTGGAAACATTAATTAAAGAATCACAGTTTTCTTGGCTGTCTTATAAATATGCATACCTAATAGGCCTTCAGAGAAAAAAAAATTAAGATACCTTAAGAAAAGAGCCAGATGGTAGGGGGGAGCAGGGGAAAAGAATGATTGTTAGGCTTTTTATGGCATACATTTCTATTTCAATTACACAACCGTATGCAAGTCTTCATTCTCTAAGTGTTCATTAACAAGTGTTTGATTACCTTCATTAACATTAACTTTTGTTTTCCTCCTGTCTTCCTCTGTTATTTACAAAACCTGATGTAGACAGGTTACCAACTTCTGTGGTCCTAATTCTGGGACACTCTCACCCCATGGTTGATCTGTCAGTGAGAACACTGGTAGTGCTTGTGCTGAACAAGCTGCACTCACCAGGTGTTCCCCAAACTATGTCCACAAACAGCAAAATCCTTATAAAGGTCTTCAAAAGTAACCAAGTGCTGTAAGGTACGTGTTGTAACATAGGCTAGAAAGAAATCCAAGACTGCAAAAGCAGAACCCCAGAGATGTGAACTGTGACTATGTTGTAACTCCCCGTTGGAAGGTTCTCCGTGGAAGAATGCCTCAACTTCAGCAACACTTATTTCCATGAGGACACTGGAAACTAATTTCTGTTTTCCTGTTACCTTAAAATCACGTTTCCTAGAGTCTGGCTGGGCCCTCAGCTGACTCCATGCAGATTACCGGCACAAAGGAGCAAAGGGAAAGTTTCAAGTAGACTTTCCACACCTTCTGCTCTGTTTTATACTATCTCAATTCTCTACTACTTTATAAAAACAAACACCAAAGGGAGAAGAGAGGACCGAACTACGACACTAACGGCTTGGTGTTTTGGGGGCTACCGAGTTAGTGACCTGAGCTGTTTGAACAAAGAAGCAGGAGATTGGGAAACGAGTTCATGTTCTCACAGGTCTAGCGTGCTGAAGAGGTATTTGAATTTTCAGCTAAAAGTAAAAGGAGGTTGCTGGCCGTAAAATACACCTACAAAAATACAGTTTTTTTAAAAAATAAATTTCTTTTAGCACTGGAAAAACTGAAGCAGAATATTTCTATAATGAAGGACAAAAACTAGTGGTACTAATTACTGACCAGTCAGTGAATAGATTCTTCACTGTTTCACAGCAGAAAGCCATTAATGAGCTTTCTCATTTTCGGAGATATGATGGTTTAATGGGGGACACGCTGAGACTCAATGGAGTCCTGTTTGCTAGCAGAGGTTTGGGATAGACTGTCACCACGTGAAACGCTTAGCAACACAGCAACAAGTCTTACTCAGTT